ATTTTTCAAGAAAATCTGAACTGAATAAAGTCAAGCTTTATTGCCATTTCTTCTGTCTTCAGGGGTACTTCTGCAGGCTTCTTGAAGGACACTCAGAGGTCTTCTTTGAATGTTGGCTGCCTTTTATTCTGTTCTCCGTCAAGATGATCCCACACTGCTTAAATAATGTTGAGGTCAGGGCTCTGGGGAGATCAGTGCACGACTGATACTGTTCCATTGTGTGCTGTTCTATTCAGGTATCATTTTGCTGCATTGCTAGTGTGTTTTTCAGGCCATGATGAAAAATGCATACATTGTCAGTTGTGTGGTTTCCAGCTGGTATTGCATGGTCAATCTAGCGTCATTTTTCTGTGTTTGTAATTCAGTCAGTTTTAACAAGATGCCCAACACCACTGGCAGAATGAAGCGGCAAACAATGACAGCACCTTCACTGTGTTTCAGAGACACTCACTGTTGTACCTCTTTCCTGACCTCCTCCATACATATGGATGATGATTTGAACCAGAATTTTAAAATATCAATTCATCACTCTATAAGAACTGTTGCCACTGATTTTCAGTCCAGTTCTTGTGTAATTTGGCATTCATCAGCCTTTTCTGACCATTTCACTTCTTCAAGAATGGCCGCTTGACAGTCAGCCTTCCACTGACACCATTTCTGATGAGGCTCCAGTGAACAGTAAATGGATCAACTAAGGGCCCAGATGCAGGTCCTGTGTAAAGTTGTGTTGTCTCTGTCAATTTCTGTAACTAAAGAAGTGTTTTTGCAACACGCTGATACTAACAAAGGGCCTAAAAATACAATTTAAAGTTGGTTCTTTGATAAGTTGTCTGTTATGTGTGACCACAACGCTGGTTCATCCCTCAAGATTGTCCCTTTTTGAAGTTTGAACAATTCATAGATGGGTGTTAAGTAGCTTAACAAAAAAATACTTAAAAAAACCAAAATAATCATTCCTATTGAAATGGTAAAGTACAAGGATGAAAGTGAGTTAGAAGCAGCCAGTGTCCAAAAAGAAAATAAAGTTTGAAAGGTCTACAAAAAAACCCTAGAGAACTACTGCTGAAGACCTCAAATCTGTCTCCTTGGAATACAAAAAAATGAGGGGTGGGTCAGGACTTTCACACAGTACTTCAAATCTGATAGACTGCACTCTACTCATTGAGTTCAATATTTGTATGCATAATTGCTAACAAATAAATAAATAAAGTAGAGCTATGAAGCAGAACATAGTTGATGTCAAGCTGATCCTCAGATTTCCTAAAATGGGCACAGTGTTGATGCTGGATTAATGGTCCCATGCACAATTGAACATGTGGAAAACGGATGTCTGTCATTTTCTGAGTCCGTCTCCCATCCTCTGGTAGAATGCCCTGAAGGTTAAGAAAGCAAGAGCAGATAGAACCTGGACACGCAAAGGGACCAGATGGCCCCCCCCCCCCCTCAGACAAGTGTGTCATGCAGTATGGTTTTCATCAGTCACAGATATCGGCTTAATCCGCAAATATGAACCTTGTCCAAAGTCTCTTTTACAAACAGCAAATTGACAATTATTGATTTTGACTACAGACTTGGTTTTATTTTATAAGCTTTCAATCGGTTTGCTACGATTGGGTTTCATCGGTCTCCCGTTGAATAAAACTGTCTTCACATCTGTTTTCATAAGAGATGGATTTCTAAGTAGCCTGTTTAGGTCTATAAAATAACAGACATGACATATACAACTACTGAAAAGGAAAGGAATAAAGATTAAAGAAGGCTTTAAGATCAAATCTTATTTCATGAATTGGGGGTATTTTCTGTCTTCAATTATGTTTTCTATTTATATCTACCCCTGATACCTAACATCTAAATAGAAAATCAGCAGCATCCATAAACACGTCTTCTCATGGAATGGAAAATGGAGGCGACTGATATAAGTAGATAAAGAGGACAGCGAATGAAATAGTTCTTCTATACCTCATTTACCAGCAGACCGCTTAGCGAGGCCATTGGCATTTCCGGGGGCAAGAGGGCAAAATGAATGTTCTTCATATCCGATGGTGACTCGTAAAAAAAGGAGGCTGGTGACACAAGCATGCACAAGCACGCAAACATACACGCACATTCTTGTGTGGTCAGTGTGATTTATACCCAGAGCTCTTGGGCAACAGTCATGGGCCGTTGACTCTATGACAGCAGAACAAGAGAGAAATAACTTTAGGGTTGTGGTTATTGAGCAACAAACATTAACACAGAAGAGCAGAATAACAGGAAGCCAGCCTTGACCTCTGGGGTGAGAGGCAGAGGGAAAAAAAAGAGAACGCAAAGTATGGATGGTTCCCCATCTGGATTTTCAGGAAAACTTTTAGTTTGATGCTGAGCAGACTGAGGAACAGCGAAGATGACGATTTACAAATGATACAGGCCTTCCAAGTCCCTCAATTTGTGCCAAATATGTTCCTAACTTCATGGAATAATGAGACGACTTGTTCCACAATCTAAGAGGGAAAAAAACACCACGTGGAACATAAAAAGATGCATCACTTCCACAGTGCACAAAAGTGATGCGATAACAATGATGTAACTGAGTTTAAATTAAAAGCAGCCTATTTTCATCAGGGATATCTTAGGTCACAGGTAATGTGAGGAGAAAAAAAACATGTGAATTTACCAATTGAATACCCCCCCCCCCAAAAAAAAAGAAAAAGCACAAAAAAGCAGCCCATTAAAGGAGACAAAGAGCTGATTATGTAACATGCTCTTGCTCCCACTATCTTGCCGTTGTTTGTTGCATTCATCCATTTCTGTCCCATTTTTATCACAATCTCTGGCCACTCTCGCCCACCAGCAGTGATGACATTGCCTCAAACAAGGCCGCTGATTAGTGCCACTTCTAAATAAGGCACATCCGGTTAGCCTTCCAATCTTCGTAATGTATCCATTAACCCCTTCCACCCTATTCTCCTGTCTCTGTCTCGCTTGCCTCACTCCAGATCTCCTCTGTGATGAATTGTGGCCTGCTAGGTAAACAGACCAAATGCATCATAAAAGCCAGTGGAGCGCAGTGTTATGCAGCATTTGCTTAGTAAATTCGTCGCTTCTGTCATGATACCACGCTCGCTCACTTATGTGCTTCGGTGCCAGCTGCTTTGAGGGTGATTGAGGCATGAATAGTGGATGTTTCGGCATATGTTGCGTATATTCATCACACAATGGATATGCTTATCTTATTTTTGAGTGTAGATCAGTTCTGACTGATTTAATGAAAGCTCATTCCATGTGCAGGTGGGCTAAGGAAGACTCTGTAAGGAGTAAATCCAAACTAGTGACTGTGTCAGCCATGATGTGGCTGTGACTAGTGCCAGAAAACTTCTAGAATAACCCACTTAAACTCTGTCATCTATAGTCAGCGAACGGTGAGCGATGGGCAAGGAAAGCGATCTCTAATTGAGCTGGAAAAAGCCTCTGACCTTTTTTCTTGAGGAAAGAGGAAGTTTGTTGGAGAATATTTTGTCCCTGGCAACTTTATACAGGTTAGAATAAGCATGCGTGCACACATATTCATTCTAGTCTAGCACAATAGATCTCTGGCACACAGACACGCATACACAGTCCAGGTCAAATACCAGGCATTTATACCCACCCTCACCAGTGATCATACACCCTTGGCTGGATTAATTCAGCCTCCCAAGACTTGGATCCTCAGGTTAAACAGCAGTCTTCTAGCAGGGAGCAAAGTGAGCACGGTGATGAATGACTGCAGCCCCGTGTCCTGACACGTCTGATAAACGTGAACCAGCGGATCTGTTTTTAAACAATGTAGTCCTACCCACACATTTAACATCCATTCTCTGCGACCAGGGGAAAGCTTTCAAAATGATTAATAACAAATTTAGCCCTGTTCTGACAAGAAATCTGTAACATTGCTGGGTTTATCTTTCTTTTAAATAATAGCGTTTTGGCTTTCACACATGAAGGTTTTCTTTTGGTTTTTCTCCTGTTATGTCAAAATATGACAGGATTGTTACAGATGGATTCAAATTCTTGCAATAAGATATGAGACTAGAGAATACAGGGAGTTTCATATTAAGGTTGTGAGCAGTGTTGGTCAAGTTACTTGAAAAAAGTAATCAGTAACTAATTATTGATTACTTCCCCCAAAAAGTAATCCCGTTACTTTACTGATTACTTATTTTCAAAAGTAATTAATTACTTAGTTACTTAGTTACTTTTTAAAAACACGATTTACAACCTGAAGAGGTGATAAAGCGATAGATCTTTTAGCCCAATTCTACTTTTTCTACATAATCCATCATACAAAATGTAATCAAATGGAAAAGTCTCTTTTTAAAACTTGTTTTATTAGTTTTAATCTTTTAACTTCATGCATCAAGCAAATTTTTTTGTGTGTTTACACTCACTCTTTCAAATAGATGCAAGTAAAACACAGCAGAAAATAAATAAAATCAAAGACTAGTGGTCCTTTTGCTCTATTTTCACCTGTAAAGCAGGAGTGGGGTAGGCGGAGGTTTACGCTGGTGCAGGTGTGCCGCAGTGGTCAGTTGAAGAATCCGCGAGTTTCTCTGTGCTTGCTTGGAAGTTTAGGGGTTTTTTTTTCCCGCTGTAACAAGAAGTTTTCTTCCCACGCACGATGGACACTAATGTTTTTGTCACTTTTTATGGAATCAAACTTAAAGTAAGGTCAGTACTTCCACGCTTTAAACGCTGCACGCTCATACTCTCTCCCCTCGATATATGATCCATTGTTGATCTGCACACAGCTGTTGTCGCAAACGTCGCACTTGCTTATGTCACTGTCATGAGACATTCTCGCAAAAAATCACGGTTTTAGTAACGCAGCGTTCCTACGGGAAGTAACGGTAATCTAATTACCGTTTTTGCAATAGTTACAAGTAACGCGTTGCTGCCCATCTCTGGTTGTAAGCAATAAATTATTTACTGCAACTTAAAAACATGCTGCTGTTCATATTTAACTATTCTTACTTCATTTCTTTCAGCCACAAGTCAGACATGCACCCCGGTGATTTCAAAAGGTGAGAAAGGCAGTCCGTGGATCGTGAATGAGATTGGCTGTTGGACCAGTTTTGTCGGAGAGGACAAGGCAGAGGTTCACATCTTTAAACTGAACTTTAATAACCCGGTAAGCATGTCAAAGTTATTTGAGTCTATCTAAGTTAGATATAATAATCTGTAAAAATTGTCATCAAGTTAAAAAAAATCCAGTTTGACTGAGAGTGTTGTACACCGAGCTCGTCTGAACTAAATTATTTTTATGGAAAGAAGTAATAACCTGAAAAGTAGTGGTAAAATTCAAATAAAACTTTAGGTAAACATCACAATGTAGAAAGTTCAAATGTTTCACAATCAAACTGCTGCCATCTGTCAAGCACGGCTTAGTTGTCATTTAATCCCAAATTCCCCTGTGCGACAGACGTTATCGTCTGCTCATTCATCATACTTCTTAGCTGATGGAATAGTATGTCAGGTGCTGTCATGCTGAAAAGGAGAAAGCTCTGCACCTATGTTCACCTCACAGTTCACAGCATTCGTAAAATGAAATGTTTCATTCCACTGAACTATCATTACACTGAGTTTAATGATGCTCATTTACTTATTTATAGAGTTATCAGATGTTATGCAATGTGGGACAGTATTAAAGCTGAGTCAGTTTTAAAAACTGACCATACCCAGTAAAAAGAAGCACTGTGATTATGCACATTTAACTTTAAATATATCAGTTTTTTTGCATGATATTTTCTATGACGTATGATTTCAGCTGTATTAGAGCTAACAGCTAAATTCAATCGTAGATAGAAACAAAACACCACGAGAACTTTTGCAATCAACAGTCCAAAATTCAAAATAAATACTTGAACTAAAACTTGCACAAAATCAAAACCCCTTTTATACAGTATGTGAGTAATCACCAGTTCAACCAATCTCCACAATATGCAGAACTACACTCATCAAAAGCACCAGCAAACACCCTCCTTTCCCTTTCTTGCGCCATCTCTAAACCTTGGTGAAACTAGCAAAATATCAGACAGCTTGTTGCAATTTTTGGCCTTGAAGTAAATGGAAGATTGTGTAACGGCAGAGCTTGTTTTAGGGACGAAGCCCTCATTGTTAGCAGTTGACCTTTAGTTTCTAATCAATAGGCTTCAGCAAGATTTACAAAGCTTATAATGATGGCAGTGCAGTTATTTCTCAGTACCTTGACAAAAATTAATTCTCAGAGTTCAGCACTTTACTGATTATGTCACAGTAATTATGCAGTTTTTACTTCTTGTCTATAACTTTTTGGGCTTTTCGATGTTGTGACGGGGGCTTTCAGAGACCAGCGCGAACGATGAATGTTCCTTATTCATTTCTAAAAATATCAATGCTACATTTGAGCATGTTCTTCTAACCAAGTGAAGCATCCAAAAAAACACCTCAGTGTTCGAACACATCGTTTGACACCAGCAAGAAATAAAACTGGCATAGGATGGAGCATATAATTTACACACTTGATATAGTTTGACAGATATGATTTTATTCAGTTTAATGTGTTCAAATTAATGAATAACAGTGTTAAAAGCACTGCATAGACCATTAAACACTCCTCTTCTTTATGTAAATTAATGACCTGTGAATAAAAAGAAAATACATAATGACTTAATTATGAAGGAAATATGTTAAAGTATTCCTTTTTAAAAAAAATGTAAAACAGTCTGTGTGCTTTACTGTATCAGACATTATGCTGTGGTGAGGTAAATAAGTGCAGCTTCAAAAGAGTTTTATTCCTTTTAAAGGCACATTTTCAGCTGGATGGGAAAGGATGAAGGATATATTTTAGTATTCAAATTAGAAAAAGAACAGGTGTAATTGTATGAATTAATGATGGCTGAGCTCCTTTAGAACTTGGGTAATGTGCATACGTGTTCACAGTGCCTTGCCTTAAAATGGATGGATGTTATTGTTTAGTTGTCAAACCTGCGGCTTTCCTTCTGTGACAACTCATAATGTCGTTGTAACGCAGAGATGTAAAGACCTTGTATTACCGCGGAAGCACTAGCTGGTAGTCGGGCCGTACGCGTGTCTTAGTGCAGTTGAACATAATCCACAAAGTCCGCTTGTAGTCGAAAAACAAACAGGCAAACATTTATTTCCACAGTTTGAAATACAGTGATCCATTTCTGAGTAAACTAAGAGATGATTAGACCTTTATCCTATACACCTTGAGTTAGCAAAGATGCACTGCTACCTGTCTTATGTAAAGTCTTGATAAGGAACAGCTTTTGTAGGTTGGAAAATCTGTCATGTGATCTGGGATCTTACTGCTGATGTGTGTCAGGCATGAAAACAAAACTGTAGGCTAAAAAGGTCCTATGGGGTATCAATGTGTGGAACCTGGCATTTTATGAGAGACACTTAAGGCTAAAGATAATAGTGTATCTGGTATGTTTTTAAAAAAATGCACATTTTACCGTATTTGGTCAACATTGTGCGCAGACTTTCCCTGACTCTGAATAAATAAGCTTTTAAACATCTTCCCACATTACAAAACATAAACACACTCATTTCCCAACTTTATCAGCCTGATAACTAGCTAACCATTAACAGATGCCAGATGTGACAGAAACGCAGCTTTTTTCAACCCCTTTTAAAAGCCACATTGTTCAATTTTGGTCTGTGTTTAAAGAATTCATTTTCCAGCTAAACAAACATATGCAGTAATTGCTGATAGGGTATTGGGATGTTTTGATTTTCAAACTTTTTGCTTCAGGGAATGTCAGTGAAAAGTAATTCTAGAAAAGTTCTAATCTATATGTTGTTATTGTTCGGCCAGACTCCATTTTTCACTGTCCAACATTGTCGGTCAGCTCGCATTAGTCATTTCTTTATCAGTGTCCTTTGTTTGTTTGCTTGCTTCTGCTGTTTGTTTTCACTTAGACTATGTAGTATTTTTGCACAACTTCTGTTAAGCAAATGCTATTTATTGATCATCCCGTTTTATTTTTCACTGTATTGGTTTTTCGCCGTCATCTGGCAGAGATTATGAGAATGGAAAAGCAGATGTGTGCAGCCTCGCTAAGACATTGTCACAGGATGGTGAAATACAATCCCTGCCTGCCCATCCATCAGCTCCAGAATTAATAAAAGCCTCAAGGTCCTTTCCTTTAACCTCTCCCAGGAAAGCCATTGAGAATCCTGTCATCCTTTAGCAGAAACGTTTACCAGCAAGCTAAACTGATTCAATTTGATTTCCACTGGAAAATGTTGATATATATGATATACAAAGAATCATTAACACAAGCGTCCTTAAGAATGAAGCTTGGTTACCTCACATATGGTTTTGTGCCTTTCTTTGCTTCGAGTAATGCTGCTAACATTGTGCAAGCACATCATTGTCTTTGTCTCAAAGACACAGTTACTGCTGCAAATGTCGTCAGGTCTTTAGTCTCATTTAATGGACTGTAAATCAGAAGAAAATGCAGTTTGATGACAAAACAGATTTAAAGCATATTAGAAAGGAAATGGTTCTCGGTCTTTTTATTAGGCCCGAAGAGTAAAATTAGGCACATTATGTTCTGTGGGAGAGGAAGAAAAGTTAATTGCGAAAAGTTCTAAGTGTAGTTTGTGGAAAGAATGGCGCAAGCTCTCTGATTTAAAAAAAAGGTGAACTCTGTTTGAGACTGGTGAGAGTTCACAAAAGGAATTTGGTCTGCAATCTGTGTGATCCACTCAACACTGTGCATAATTGGCATATCCTGGTCTCTTGATGGGACCACGAGTGGACGTTTTATCATATCAAAAAGCAAGAAAAAAGTGGACATGTGACCTCTTAACACATACCCCTTATCTGCTTTTGGCTGTCTGTTTATATAAAAAACAACTGTTCTTGTAAACAAAAAGAAAGGGGAACATATTCATCTTATGCCAGACTGTCCAGTCAAAAGGGAGGTTTGCTCTTGGATCCTCTTTTCTTTGTCCTCCAAATTGTCTTATCACCTTCTTCCCCATTCCTTTATTTTCATACTGATTTACAACCTGCCAGGAACAGTTGACTGTCACAGTTTGACCCCACAGAGAATTATAGAGGGAGCATCAAGGGGGTACACAGTCAGAGAGAATTCACTGGGAGGAGCTGCTTGTACAGGACTCATTGATGTCACACAGAGGCTTGGATAGTCAGGCTCTTGGCACAAGGCCGAGACGAGACCAGGAGAGACAATTCAAGCCAAGGGAGAGAGTCAAAAGAATAACTGGAAACTGCATCAGCAAAGGCCCTTCAAAAAATGCTCTGAAGAAAAGAAAAAAAAACTGAAAAGGAAAACAATTGTATCTTGAAAGCACAGGAACAAAAGCAGCAAAGGTGAGTGATCAGGGTCAGAGTTCAAAAGGAAAGAAAGAAAGTCACAAAAGGATGACGGGAAGTTAGACAGAAAGCTCATTAGAAAGGGGTATTTAAGGAAAACACCGCCGAGAGTTATCTCTGTATGAAGCACAATGAAGTCAGGAGGAAATGCCGTTCATTCATTTGCTCTACGCACATGCAACACAACAAGTGAGGCACAAACTAAATGTTACAAAAGAACCTCAGACCTCTCCAAGGTTAGTCTGTCTTCAGGGCAATCTAGCTGTATTCTTTTTCTTTTTTTTAAATTTAATAATATATACCGTGCACAGAAGATGGAATCAAAAATGTGATTTCCTGTGGCTCACCTTGCCACATTCACACAGTATTGCACATGTTATGCATTTATAGAGACTGACACATGGAAATCATATACAGCAGTAGCTGTATTTGGCCACCTTCTGCACTGTTGCAGACAACTAGCATTATACGGTATGCTAATATGTTAGCCAATTATTTTTCAACACCCTTTGCAGGATTTTTTTTCGGCCTGTGATTTGATCTTATAGCCCCTGTCTTATTCACTGATATCTGAGTTTCCTGTGGGCTATCACAGGAATTTTAAATTCCCCAACTTGTAGAACTGGGTCTATCTTTACATTCAAAGTGAGTGTCATGCTATTATGATGGGCAGAGCAGCATTTGAGTACTTGGATATCTAACAGCTTTAGACACTGTGTTCCAGGTTCTTGTGGTAAGTTATTATTTTCATGCCAAACCCTCTGCCTGTAGCGAACATGTTTCTTTTATAAGTAGTCCTAACCACTGATCTATTCAGATAAATTCCACTGTATCTTCACCTGGGACTGCAGTCACCCCTTTTAGACATTTTTCCTTTCAAACTGGGGACTAAAACCATTTATAAGATGCAGAAGTCATTAAGCACAAGCCTGCATGTACTAGACACCGGTTAAAGCTTGTGTCTCACTGTGTGTGTATATCAGTGATCCTTCTGTCCATAGCACTCAGCGTGCAAGGCTGTCTTTGAAATTCATCTGTGTTTGGTTTATAGGCAATTTGTCCATGGTCTCCTTAGACTTAATTTGCTCTGCTCTGTATGCGCCTGAAAATTTCCATAGCTTCAACCTGAGCTCATCACAATTCTCTTGGATCACACTCTGGCAACATCAGGTATCAAGTAAATGAATTTGATATGAGGGCGTCTTACTGTTTCCCCAGCAAGCTCATTGTCTCACTAACAGGTTCTGTCTGAAAACAATCTGCCTTCAAATACACACAATATAACAGAATAAAGCATTTGGTGTCAAGAAAAAGTTGTGAATGTTAACCTCCCATAAAAGCCTCACATTGGAGCAATACTTCCAAGTTTTTTCCCCCCTTCTTCTTCTTCTTTTTTAAAGCTGTTGTTCATTTCTAATGCACTGAGTCATAAAATTGAGCTGATTACAAATCCATGACTCTTTCACTTTTCTAAACCTAATTATCTTGGGTCTCTTGCGGAAGTAAAAAGACCTGGGATTCATTGGAATTAAGTCTGTCGAAAAAATAAAAAGTCTTTAAACCCAGACTTATTATTCCACATTCAAAAGGTTTACTCACCACCACTTACATCCATAAATCTCTGCAGCACCAGCTTTGCCAAACGCATATGCGAAGCATAGTAATTAAGGCTGATTCATAGTGTGACTGGGGTGGTGATTAGCAAATCACATCACCATTATGTTACTGTGGTTAAAATATAGTTAATTGGATATTACATTATGTGTTGAATTATGTTAATGGTGTTTTATATGTAATATGCCTCATAACAACCACCAAGGTTAGCCATTGTTAAGGCAGCAGGTTGTGAATGAAACGAAGTAGATAAATTAATAATAAGACTGTACATAAGTAATTCTGACTACACCTTTAGGGATAGTTTTAATGCAACCAAGACACAGAGTATACATTACACAAATGCATCTAATTGCACATCTGGTAAATAATTAATTTTATAGCTTTACATGTTTTTTATTTCTCCTCCCTTGCATTGCATAGAAATGTAATAATAGAACCAAGCTACATTACCTCATAAATATCAGCGTCAGCTCAAAAGCAGGCATTTGAAGACTGTTTTTTTCTTGCCTGTTTTTGACTCTCTTCAAATGAGTGGTTGCACGTGTGTCTGGAGCGATCCACGTGTTGACATCTCATGGTTGCGAAAATAAGGAATAGTCACGTCCCCCCTGCTGAGATTACCTCCAGCATGGAAATTAAATCAAAGTTGTGCGGTATTAAATTGGGGTTGGAACTATTTTTGTGTGCTGCAAGTAAAATATCTCCCTCCTCTGTCAACTTGAGGCCTATTAATTTAATGACAGATAGGGAAGGTTGCAAATTGGTGAGCAGCTCTACCCAAGACCTTCAAAGTTTGAGCACTGTTGAATTGTGATTCAGTGCAAAATGACCATAATAATGTTGGTCTTTTTATTTGCTCTCTGAAGTTTCAGAACTTTTCATTCTTCATGTCACAGGTTAGAAAATGCTTAAATCGCATTTGTGATGTTTTTCATCTTAAGCCAGTGTAATAATGTTTGAATTTCAGGAAAATGCTACGTTTCAATTTTGCCTGTGCTAAAGGTTAATTCTTGTCATTTCATTACAGGATATTTTTCATTGTCTACATTAATTCATCCCCCCAAAAATGATGTAGCATAGCTGCTATGTATTCTGTTTTCCTTTCTTTTTTCATTCTGCTTTATGATAACACAATCAAAAATTATACAATGCGAGCCAGAAGCATTGCTTGAAGTGCTTTTCAAACATTTTAATGTTTTGATTTTATTTCTGAATTACGTGGCACATACACAACGTGGAAGGCTTTCCAGAAAACTTCTAATAGACAGTGCAGTAGTTCCCATATGGCTAAACATTGGGACTGAATATTTATAACACTTGATTGCTTTGTCTTTCGTATCAGTCCCAATCTTCCACCTGGAGATGTATACCACCTTCAGACATCATTTGCCTGCAACACTTTCTGAACCTGCAAACTATTTGGAAAGTTGTTAGCTTTCATATGTAAAGCAGTCTTTCCACTGTAAAAATAGACGCTGCGTTTAAAACTTCAGTCTGAACTTATATGAGTAGATCTTTAAAATAACAGCTGCATTGTGTGATTTTCTATTTTTATTCTTGTAATAATTTGTGTTTTTTTTCCTTTCAGGAAAATGCCATATTTCAAATTAACTTGACTGATGCAAAGCCAATGCACCTTATCCTCACATCTGCAGAAACAGCTTATGGTTTATGCTATCTCAACAGCGAGGTTCACTTGTATGTAAGTAATGCATCTTTGTTTTTCTGTACTACCGTGCGCACATGCAGTTTTTTGCTTTTCTTTTGAATGCACATTTGGGACTGAACCTGGAAATAAAATGCCACCTTTGGCCCACTTTTATTCAACCCTGATTACACATACTGCCTCAGCTGTAACATAAGGTTGTTAAAGAGTCACTAACTAATCATAAAAAAAGATCAGGTTGTGGGGATGCCACTACAAGTAGTTAGTTTTATCCGTAATGCATGATTTTCACATGTCTCCAGATGTGCTTGTCTATCGCCAGCTGTTTTCACACACAGTCAAGCTGACACAGCTGTGCAGCTCTGTGAGTCTGTTTGGAGAGACAGTAAACTATGTTGATTTTGCAGTGTTGATTCCCCAGTGGCCCCTCTGTAGTGAAATGTTACAAAAGAGCAAGCAGTTTTGTATTTTGTGTCTTTTACCCTCCACACTATAAAATCGTAAGAGAAGTTTTAGAGAGTATCGAGAAAGGCTGATGCTGATGGCACTGGCCATAAAATTAATGTTCCAATGAAACCGGAGATTCTGACTTTTATACACTGTTCTTAGATTATGTTTGTGGACTGAACCCAGGAAGAACTTGAAACTTTTATTCCATTGTGTGCTTAAGTGATAATGTCAGGGCAAAATGCTACAGTGGTAATTAAAAACATAAACCAGGATTTAAATAGCACTGAGATGGGCAAATAAATGAGATTGCCTCTAACTAGGCTATTATTTCTAAATATGTTATTGATGAAGCTCCTCATTGCTAAATGAAAAATGTTGCAGTATCTGTACATAAGGACCCTTATCCTCATGAGAAATTGTAATAACTGTGATTAAATCAATATTAAAACCATTAGGCATCTGATGCTGTTGAGGGCTATAGAAAGTATTTGGTTTTTAAAGTCACAGTGCAGCACTGTACAACTACACAATGATTGTAACACTTTGTGCTCCCAAAGGAAGGATGGAGGTGTTTTTCCTACCTTAGAGTAAACTGAATTTAGATTTGAAACATCCTCGGGAGATAGAATTACACTGAACATTTAATCGTCTTTATTTCTTTCCACAAACTTTGCCAATCTAGTTTAAAACATTTTTTCGCCTGGATTGTGTCACTGTTTTTGTCTTGAGAACAATTAACATTGGATTTTAAAAACAAACAAAAAAAAGGAAGAAAGAAAAAAGCTAAATCTCACTGTCCTTTTCGTGAAGTTAGTGTTTCGTATTTGTCGGATTTAAGAAGCCATGATACGCTTGAAAAACAATGAAATGTTTGGAGGAATGTCACCAATTACTGATATGCTGACAGCAGTGTGATAGCACATCCTGTATCATGTCCTGTCGAGAGCCTAGACAACATTGCCTGTGACTGCAGGATGTTTTTGTGGGATGAGCCATATCACTGGGGGATAATAGCGCTTTACTGCAGATTGCATTGTAAGAGAATCAGCATCTGGTCAGCATCTGAGAAAGTACGTCACCAGCTTGACAGCTTGGCTCAGTGTCACAGCTCTTGTTGACCTCCCATAGCTGACCCGAATACATGTGGCGACAGCAGCGTTTTATCTGTAACGTCTTGCAGCATTTTTTAACGATCTTACGTGACAGCTTGTTAGTTGAAAAAGCTTCTTTTTTTTTCTCTCCACCAGATTTCAAACAATTTGTAACAAACTTAACATAATTAAAATACTTATACAAACTGATAACATTTTATGGAGGAATGCCCAGCTTCTGACATGACACTATACAATTATTGCATGGAGTAACTGATGGGTAGTAGAAGAAGAAATTCCTGTAATCCTCAGCAAACAGAAAGGCTCATTTATTTCAAAAAGAAGGTTCCTTGATCGTTACTGGAAGAATTCGCAATAACAAACTGATATTACTGATACTAATGTGAGTTAAATTCCGCTGTAGTCATTAAAATGATTGCCATTGTTATTTCCTTTTTTCTTTCCATCCTGCCTTTGAGGCCTTCCCTGTCTGTCGTGACTAACTTGCCTTCTTTTATTTCTGTCGTTTCCCTTCACACTATTTTTGATCGCACGTCAATCAAATATTTATGTAGAAAGACTGATGACTCCCTCAGGCTTCCTCGGCTTTCACCAACCACCCCCCCCCCCCCCCTTTCCTTGTGACGCAAAAGCTTATTTTGGTCAGATGCTATGTTATGCCAAACATCTGTTGAATGTGTTCACCTCTAGTTGAAGGACCAATTGGCATGGTAGTTGTAGTAATGTGCTGAACAGTGAAAGAAACACTGATGACCGCCCAAAACGCATAAGAGCTGTTAATTTTAGAGTGTTCATTTAAAACTTCAATTGTAAAACTTCAGATACAGCTAACTGAAATATTCAGAGCAAGGCAAAAAGTTAATGTGAAATTGAAATTAGGGGTGGGTGGTATAAACGGTATACGGTAGAAATGATATAAATTTGGCCAAAGGTAGAGATTTTGACTACACCGCTCTACCGCGATAGCGCATATTGATGGTGTCATCAAGCTGTGCCTGTTTTGGTCGAAAACATTGCAGCGGCTGCAAACAACATCATCTGCAAATTATGCCGTGCCACAGTAATAGCAAAGAGATTAAGCACTTTTGGAATATGGGGAAAGCCAAAAACTGCGCTTCCTCCACATCTGTACCATTAATTCATTAATGCTGAATTCTCTCACAGATGCTCTATTACCATGTTGTTGCAGTATATTAATGACTAACCTCGTATTGTGGATGGATTATCTCAGTTGTTCTCCTGACTGAAGTTTGGTCCGTTTACAACACCCTTCCATGCAATTGCATTTGTCCCTAACCACCAGAAACCCTCACCTTAACTTTTATCGAGTGGAAAAAAGTTCGTCGTTCAGCTTCACTGTGCTAATGTTATGCTAACATAGCTGTGTCACTAGCGATCACGTAGGACATCATTATATACCCCCTAGTCCAACTTCAGTAACCCTACAAAAGTCACTGCTGTCTTCATTTATGTTGGAAGTGATAGCAGAGCTGTACATTAAAATTTTGTCAGAAATCTCTCAGTCAGAACATGCTATACCATGTTTAGGTAGAAACTAGTGAGCTAACTTCCTGCTAACTTTTAACTCTGTTGAATTTAATAAATTCTGTTTTCATGGATCCCTGGATGTTAAACTTAATTGTTACACCCGGTAAAGCAGCAACGCTGATCATTTTATTAAAGATGAAAGAATTTAGACAGTTTTTAACTCTCAGTGATGCCACAGTGTTCGTTTGACTTTGGGACCTGAAGCTGACGTTTTAGACCCAGATTACTCCGCGAGGCTCCTGACTACATTAGCCGTAATGCTCCAACAATCCATCAAGCAGTGCGCCTTCATAGCTTACCAAAGTCGTACTAAAACATTTTTTGACAGATTACTGCGCGCTGTGTGCTACGTAAAATTAGTTCGAGGTCAATAAGCACAACCAGAATTCATAGATAAGGGACACTGTCGATTTTTGAGAAAATTAAAGGATTTTAAGTGTGCCTTATATTGTGTAAAATACGTTATACAGAAGAAAATAATATATCGTGGTATATATCGTTACTGCACATGTATGGCGTTATTTTTGTGCCACTATTCTGAGCGCATGTAAAAAAAAGTTTTATAACCTTGATATGTAAAAATGTGCTCAAGAAATAACAATTAAAAAAAGAAACCATGGGCTCCAGGTTTATTTTGGGCTCAATCTTTAATGAATTTCTATCTAGGCTGAGTTGTTCTTCTCTACTTGAGTGCTCCAAGAGCTAAAGAAGAAAAAAAGCACTGCACCTCTTCAGTGCATTCAGTGCCACACAATGAATGGAGAACAGCTAATTTTGAAGAAATAGGTTATACCAATCCAATGACATCACTGGCCAAATAAAAGAAAATGTTATTTCAATTAGGGCTGGGCGATATGGCCTAAAATCCATATCATGGTATAATGTGAATCATGTGTATGGCGTTATTTTTGTGCCACTATTCTGAGCGCAAGTAAAAACAATTTGAGCGCACGTAAAAAAAAGTTTGCAGGTGCAAGTGTTGCATTTTGAGGAGAAATTTATTTTGAGCAAAGAAAAGCTAAATTTGAGTGAACAAAATTCATTGCTGCGTGCAAAAATGTATTTCAGTGTTTGCTATTATCCACACACACACACAATAGCAGCCCCTGTCGCTCAGTTTTTGCATTAGCGCTTGCTTGCAATGTGCTGCTTGCGCTCTCGAAATTTCTGCCCGTGCGCGTTCAACTCTTTCTGTGCACCGTTATATTTGTGCCACAAAGCCAGCCAATCACAGACTTGGATGCAAAAAAATCTGATTATAACCTATTTCTTCAAAATTAGCTGTTCTCCATTCATTGTGTGGCACTGAATGCACTGAAGAGGTGCAGTGCTTTTTTTTCTTCTTCAGCTCTTGGAGCACTCAAGTAGAGAAGAACAACTCAGCCTAGATAGAAATTCATTAAAGATTGAGCCCAAAATAAACCTGGAGCCCATGGTTTCTTTTTTTAATTGTTATTTATTGAGCACATTTTTACATATCAAGGTTATAAAAGCCTACTCTTAACAATCTTAGCAATCCCTATTCCTAAAGCCTTCCCCTACTTTCTTATTCATGCAAAACATAATATAAACTCCATTATTTCCCATTGGCCCAGACGAGGAAACAGCAGTGTCTAGTCGTTGGGATGGATGTATATATTTATACCTTGTATGGAGCCAGATTCCAGCCGACCGTGGTGACGCACAAAGCTAAAAAAGGTCCCATTTCCTGGCCCCACACAGGAAGCAAAGGAAAGACCTTGGCTCCAACAGGGTTGTGCAACTGGCCTCGTGGACACTTAACCATAATAAACATTTCTTTTTAACAGGGCCCTGCTAGGAGAATAGGGGGAAAGTTGGGTGTGGAGGGTAAGAAAAAGTATAATGAGATTGATGGCCAAATATGTTTGATCTAACTAATTCTAAGCAGACAAGAGGTAAATAAAAATACAGGCAAAGCTGACTTATACAGTTCTGTGTAATCATAGCAACGGGTAGTGGACATGCCTTTTAGGACCTGATTTTGCTCTGTGCTTTCTGAAAATTGCATTAAATGAAGGTAATGAATTTGTTTTTTGCCTTTTCTCTCCAGACAAACCAAAACTCCACAATTACACTACACAATGCCAAGGAACCAAGTTTTCAGAGAAATTTCCATTTGATACAAGGTTTACCCTCCGAAGAGGAGGAGCTGATCAAATGGGCAACAGAGACGTTTGGGGGTGTGACTTCATTCACTACTCTTAGTAATGTGGGTCATATCACATCAACAGGAACACAAGGTGAGAGACATTTGTGTAAAGGTGATTTTGGGTTAATTTTTTATTACAATCATCTTCTAAACCATCCATTTACTTGTAAGGCATGGAAATGTGCCATACACACATTATGAAATAAAGATGAAGATCTCTCTCTCTCTCCCATATGTATATATATATATATATATATATATATATATATATACATAGATACGTCAGATCACAGAAGAACAGCAAAAAGGTTTCTTATCTGTCTCTAAAATTGTGTTTTGAATGAACTTTGAAACTGTGTGGGTTTTTTGTATTTAGGATATGCTATCTGCATCTGTGTTTGGTCTAAAACAGCATGTTTGGATGCTGAAGAGAACAAAGTAATTACAGTCAGCACATCATGCAGCTCCAGCTTACATAACTCAGGAGAGAGTCTGCATTATAGTAATCAAGGCTGGATGCGGTGCTGTTTCTGGTGCTCTATAGAGAGCATTCATCACTAACCTTCTTTTATCTGAAGTATGCATAAAAACACTTTCTGATGAAATAACTGCAAAAAGCAATGTGTGCACCAAAAAGCTGTTTTGAGTCGAACATTTTCATAGGCAAGATTTCTATTACTGAATGTCATCTGTGCACTGATTTCCAATGCTTTTCATACACATTTGTAGGTGGACAAGCCAGAGGAATTAAAAGCAAAACAAACAGCTGCGACAGATTTTTTAAAAACATTTTATTTTGTTTTTTCTATAAAGCTGTATGCAACAAGCACAACATGTTAAAATCTTAAGTAGTCTGAGAAAATCTTGAGCTTGGCTAAAGTGTTGAGGACTAATCAACATATTTTTTTAGTGCTGACAAGATGTCATTACATATGGCAGAACATTTGGAAAGAGAAGCAATTGAGAAGTGACCATTGATGCTGAAGATGGAAGCACAAAACAACACAGATTCAAAGTGAACATTCACGGATGACTAAAAGCTGGACATTAGGAATATTATGGGATGTTACTGCCATCAGCAGTAGCAGCAGGATGCTCAGTGCAAGCACAATTATTTCCTAGCAAAGCCTCCTTAAGGCAGTCTGAGCCAACACAGAGCTCTTAGATGGATTTAAAAAGAAGTGAACAGTGGTGGGGCTGAAATAGCGACGGCTGCTTGTGCTCCATTCCTATTATAATTTTGAGTATTTTTAAGGATTTATGTTTGAATCTGTCTTCATGATTCAATGTCCTTCTCTGTGATTTCCAACATGTAATGTGTTACAGTACGAGGGAGCTCAGCTTCCCTTTCAAGCAGTGCTTTCTCTCATTGAAAATGCCGTATTTAAATTGTAAGCAAAAGGATGTTTTCAGCCTGCTTAGTTTTAGCTAATGTTGTAACTGAGTCATGCTTCACAAGGGCATGATAATTACTCAAGCAGTGGAACATTTTACATTTCTATTTTGTTGTATCATTTGGCCTTGCCTGCATTGGGGTGTTAGGTGCATTTGCGTAGGCCTTGTTGTAGGTGTTTGAAAAGTCTGTGCAATGACACACAACAATATGTTGCTGAGACGGGGGCTCGCCGAGTAGCAAGAGTAGAAAATGTGTGCATGTCCTTCGGGATTCGTCAATGTCAAATTTGAAATGTGATTTCAAATTCATGTCATGCTATTGCTTTTGCAGAAGACAAGTGTTAAGCAATGATAATGAAGCTACTTTTGAATTATAGTTAGAAGAGCTACAGACAAGATTTTAAGTAATTAGAAGAAGACTGCTCCAATCCTCTGTGCACATGGAGCAATGGCAGCCAGCTTGAATTTGACTTGGTCACAGATTGCAATAATTTGTAGCATTTAATAAAAGTGTGGGGAAAAGCAACCCTGTCCTATAGAATGAGCCATTTTTCCCCATGTGTTTTGGTTCCAAACACACATTAAGTATTCTTGGCACACACCGCTTGCCCATTAGTGTGATGATGCGGTGTCAGGAGCTGTGGGAAACGTATTTCAACCCACAATTCAGCCATAGTGTTCTAAAACTTTTGGAGCACTGTAGCAAGTTACACCTTTGAACCACCTGTGTGTATCTTCAAAACTGCTGCTGGAGTATGTTTAACAGCAGTAAATGATAGGTGTTAATGTTCCTCCCAAAGCAGGTTAGTCCTTGGTTAGAGATTAGCTCATCAGTGTCTTTCTTGAACCATTGGACGACCGATGATAGAAAGTAATTGTTTTATGGTTTTACAGGAACCAAGCCAGGCTCTCCAATCTGTACACTTGAAATTGAAGATCTCCTGGAGAAGCATTTCATGAAGATTCAATCAAATCCAATCAAATTTTGCTTCCCACAGCAGCAGGCCTCAAGTCCTGAAACTGAGCTTCATATTATAAACATCGCAGAGAATTCCAGCATTCGGTAAACCTTAATATAAAATGCTTTTTTTTTTAGCTATATTTACTGGCAAAATCTTTCTTGTGACATTTCATTTTTTATTGCAGCAATGTATCCCTGCACGTGCGTGCAAAGAAGCAGACCCGCGTGTTCATGAGGGGTCCTCAGGGCACCATGTGGACCTTCATCAATCCACAACACACTTCGTTTGCTGTAAGCATACATATTAAAGTCTCAAACTTCAAGAAGTATTTATGGCATGCACCATGTGTGAGATATTATTTATTAAGATCAAAAAGACTTCAGGTATTTAAGTTATCATGTCTACCTCTACATTGTTACTGATTTATCTTAACCTGTCCTCATTTTCTTCAGTCTAACAATGAAATAACGCTGAATCATGCCTCAGCCTCGCACAAAATACCCCCTGCGTTGACACTGACTAGTGATACTGCATCAGATGTGCAAAGGATGGCTTTGTACCATTTTAAAGTCCCTACTTTTGTCAGCTATACTGAATTGGAATTAAAAGAATCGAGGATTTCACTGGTTCTAAAGAAAAACGAGAGCCCAACAGGTAAGAGAATAAAATGAAAGCATTCTTCTTGTTTTATGTTGGAAGCTTTAGCAAAAATAGATTAGACTGAGTATTGCAAAATACAATAACCTCCCCAAAAAATACATGTTACCAAACCCAGAGACTGTACTGTATCAGTAGGATAATGACAGCAATAACAAATTAAATATTAACATTCTTG